ACGATATGCAATTTTCTTTTAAGCAAAACAAAAAAGTATTAATTTCATCGACAATGAAAACATTATAATGGTAAATAGTTGCTACGTTTGATATCCAATCGAAATGAAATAATATCGATATTAAAAAAATTGGCCAAATATCAAAAGGATTATCTGTATTCCAAGTTTTCTGAATATTGATAAATAAATTATTTGAATAATAACGAACCAATAATATTAACGAAAATAATTGTTGCGCATTATTTTCTCAAATGAAATTAATCTTGTTATCAAACATCCATGTGTATTATTTATTACCATGAAATTATTTGCCACATATAAAACATCTGAAATGAGGAAATACATCTTCCGGCAAACAAAATTTTATAAAAATTTGTCGTAATTTTTCGAGAAAATATGGATTTTTATAGGAGCATACAATTCATTCGAAATTTGTTTGAATTGAGATGAAATTTCGACCAAAGATCCTCAGAAGTATTTTTCAGAGATAAAATCGGCGATATTTGTTTTTTGAACATCCTATAAGGATTTACAAAGCTTTGAACACTAGCATTTCTGTTTTGAATCCAAACCTTTATGTATTTCTTGCATAAAAACAAAACAAAGTGCCATATTTGAAAAAACTTCAAACCATTTCAGAAATACATTCTAATGAGTCTCAAAGAAAATTTTTAGTTCGATCGGATAAAGTTAGAGCAGGCTCTAAACAGATCCGATATAATCCTATGGGAAAATTTGTTTGAAACTTTTTTCTCGAACACATGTCTCCTTATATCAGCTGCTCTATCTATGATGGAAATTTCACATGAAGAAATTGCATCCTCTTTGAGAACCAGAAATGCTGAAAAAAAAAAGAGCGAGCTACCTTTAAGTTCTTTAACGTGTTTTAAAATTCAAAAGAAAATAATAATTAAACACAATCTTTATTGAACGTATTATTAGTGTCAAACCAGTGTTATTTTATATCGGAAAGTATTTTTTGTCATTCCGATTTTTTTCGACGCAATAGTATTGCGCAACTTATATGCATTTCATCAAACTCTTCTAAGTGTTTACTGTTTTTTTATTTATTATTTGATAAGACAAAGAAAATGGTAAAAATTAGTTACCATTGTTTTAGTTTTATTTGAAATAAGATGGTGACCGATCTTCTCATTGAAGGATAGTTTATTGTGCATACAATGTTGCAATGCATTACAGTATAATACACGTATATAGACATTAGTGATGAAAAGTTAAGAACAACAATTAGCAACATTGAGAGATAAAAGTAGGAACAATGTACCTCCTCATGCATAATTTTGTAAAATTTGTCACATTAGAAGTCAAAGAAAATATTTATCAATTTATGAAATTATGACGTAGAGCCTAGAACGGTGTTTAAAGAAAAATTATATCTAAAGTACATGTGTTATTAAAAATGTTTCTTCATATGTTCTTCGTTTTTTTTTTAATCATATCAGTCGAATAAGAGAAAGGCATTATTTTTGTCTACTCAAGGTTATTATTGTAAAGGTAAAAAAGTGCGACTTTTTGAATTGTTCTAATCTCTCCTTTTTTAAGTGGCTACTGAATTGATAAACTACTCTAAAATCTGCTCGTTCTATCCACAATATTATCATTTTTATGAGAGTAACCATTTATTTGTATGGTTTTTTTAAAACCATCATGGGAAGTAAATGATTCATTTTTTACTAAATTAATTACTGATGTAAAAATATACTATGCTACAATATATTGCAATAATTTTTATCGAAGATATTGTTCATACGAAGATTTATTTGTGTATAACTTAGTGTTCATAAAATGAATACTTCTCAATGATTTGTCCTATTGTGATGAATCCTTATACAGAAAAAAAATAGATTAAATTTTGTATCATGAGAAAACATTGTATACTCTTTGTTTTTATTTACTAATATCAAAGTTACTTAAATTATTGACTTTTGACATGAAGTTTTATTATTGTATCCAGAACCTATTGTTGTCACACGTACCACTAACATATGATTAAAATAAAATGCAAACGGTCGTTCGCTACTCTTATAACAAAATGACGTGAATACTTTTTTTCTTCTTTATTTTTACTTTCTTTCAACAGCTCTATTTAAACAACAAGAGAAGGTGGGCATGTACAAACATATACAGGCATATAAGACGAGAGAAAAACTTTTTTCTGAGTAGTCGAGTAAGTTACTTTTATGATTTGTATCCTAGCAACGTTACATATTTGAGAGAGTATTCATTAATTTATTTTTCGAATTTGATTGAATAGATTTGAACTTAAAAAGCTATCGTTGTATCATTATATTCTTCAACCGCGAATCATATATATTTTAATAGATAATAGTTATTGATAGAGACGGTGCATAAAGAACTTTTATAGTAAACTTTTTTCACATCAAAACGAAGCTTCTTTGTGTTTAGTATTCATAACGCTTATAGATGTTTTTTATTTTTGTCAACTTAAATATTTCATGTGTTTTTTTACAATAGAAGTTCGAATCACCTAGAATGTCTTCTCAAACATATTCTTTTTTTTCTCCATGTTCTGCTTCTAAGTTGACACAATGAGATGCGAATCGGTTTTTTTAAAGAAGAAAAAAACAAAAGAAGATGTTTACGAAGTTTATGAAAGAAAAACAACGTACTTCTTTTTGTTTCAATAACGAAACAATATTGTAACTGTCATTTATATATATATATATCGAAGCTTGGTATCAGATACGTCATCGATTGTTTTAAAATTCAAAACCAACATGAAAAGAGATTTTGTAACAGAGTAGTGGAGTTTAAATGATTCTTTCTTTCATTTTTAATCAAACGTCAGCATCTTCTTTTAATATACAAGATAATAGATCATACAAATACCTTAGATCTGAAAATGTATTACTAGTTTAGTATAGAGCCGTAAAATAACAGGGTAAGTAGCTGTTAAAATTTTACACAATTAATTTTTCTTCCATAGTTCTAAATTAAGAAAAGTAGAGAAAAAAAATAATTTTTTTAAATGCTCTTAAGCGACTTATTTCTGTAATATGAATCAAAACATTTAATGTCGGAAAGCAAATAGAAGAACTAGATAGTTGTAACTATAAAATATGTTAAAAAAGAGAGGTGACACTGAAATTCTGTTTTATAACTTATGCTGCAATATCGATTTATTTGATTATTTTATGTCGTTCTTAGCTCTCACCAATTACAAGAATAATCTCATCTGGCTTTTTTTAAAAAGTCTTTATCAACTAATAAAATGAAATTACAGCAAAAGTTATAAAACATAATTCCAGTCTTCCATATCTTTTTTTTAACATATTTTCTGATTTATTTATTTCATTTCACATTTTAAATCGAAAATATTCCGTACGATAAAGGATATCTAATGGACACCTGTATTACATTACAATCTCCTTTCTACTATACATATTTTGTCATAAAAAGAAAAGGTGTGTGTTTTGCTTTCGTTATCTTTATCTTGCTAAGTAAGGATAAACCAACATCCCTACTTTTGTAATAAGTTAACAAATTATTGTCAGATGAATATATAGAGGAAAACGTTTTCGTCGTACACTAAATCTCTATTGTTACTCTTATATTGAAAATCTTAAAATATTTTGTATCAAAAACTATCAATCGATACACTTCTTTCAACGGTGTCTCTCCAAAACAAATGGCAGTTTTTGAGATAAACAGAATAGAACTAACTTTCTAAATCATCTAGTTCTTAAATTCTTAAAAAATGACATCCAATTCTAAAAATGTTTCTTCAGAATTCATGATGAGTTGCTAGATGCCTCTACCAAAAAACTGGATGTAGGTAAGGCACGTGTCTTCTTCTCACACATTCTCAAGCTCTCAAATGTCCGAGAAAATTTTTTTTTCGATATAGTTCTCTCGAATGAACTGCATTTTTTTTATTCAATAGATAGATGCATCTTGTTCTGGATGACGAAAAGAAATTTTGTATTTGTCCTTCAATATCAGAAAAATCAGATATATTAGAACAAACTTTACTTAAGGTTTTGAGTAGGAACGCATTTTCAGGCATCACTGTAAGTTCTTCATGTGCTCACAAACTACACTGTTGCATCTCTAGTTCCGAGGACTCCACAAACACAATAAAAAAAAGTCTTGTTCTCATCCGGGCTGACAAGGAGTTCTCTTTCAAATGACAGTAATTTGAACACTATAGCTTGAAATGCACTGAAAATATATTTTCAACCGTAAAAGTTCCATTTTGCATCTTGCCTCTTCGAAATCTTCTGAACTGTAACGTTTAAAGTAATAAAAGTTTTTTTTTGATTGGTGTGCTTTCATTGACCGAACATCTTTAGAAAGTTTAATCAACATCCGAAGCAGTTTATCGGACATCAATTTTGGCGGAAAGATGATCTTATCGATTCCAGTAAAATGATAAAAACTTGATATTTTCAAAATATTTTTTATTACTTACATTCATGAAAATATTGTTGATTCCATATAGCTTCTTTCAAATTTATTTCTTATATATATAAAATTCTCTTCTCTTACATTGCTTATATACCTACTTACCTGGTAATGTCGAAGTTTTTTCGCCGATAATTTTCATTTTCTATTTGCACATGATTGTTTTGACGGCATAAGCATAAGCCTCACCTGGATTTTGTGTTGTTGGAGTTTTGTTTTATTGCGTGAATAACAAAAACTCAGATGAAAACAAATAAAATAGAAAAAGGAGAAAAAAATCACGAATAGAATACAGGATGTAAACTACATCGAAGCTATGAAAGACACTAGACAACATATAAATTGTTGATATACAAACTCGAACATCACAGCCTCTGACAACAAAAGGCATGAGAAAAGTAAAAATTGCATTGAGAAAAAAAAATAAAAAAATAATAACTATATTGTTGTGTTTTAGATTATTATTTTCGGTCAAATGTAATTTTTTTTAAAACGACGCTACGTTCTAGTCAAGTTTATCTAGTTTCATTATCTGAAGAAATTCTTATGCTCAAATGGCCAGGAAAAATAGGACACGTAGTTCAAATGGTACCAACCTGGATTGCAATGAATCATCTGATGGTAAGAAAACAAAACTTTTTAACAAACTTAAAATATGTAGAACCACTTTTGAATCAAACTTAATGACTACTTCTACTATTAATTAATTTAAATCTTTATAGAAGATGGATGCTGCTCACCGAGAACTACTCGACCTATTTCTACTGGTTTATTGACATCAAATCAACAACAAACAGGTAATTATTTTATTATAGATAAAATCAAATTTATAAACGAATTTTTTTGTTATGTAGCTCATTCTCAATCCGCTCCAGTAATACAATCAAATAATGCTGAGCAGAGCAATATAAATCAGCAAATTCATGGATATCCATATGTTCATCATAATTCATTATATCGACAAAATTATCGTGGTGTACAACTAGGCCATTCTGGTCCATCAAATGAAAATTCATCACTTCGTTGTAAATCTATTTCTCATCTATTTATTAAATATTTATACTTGATTTCAGATAGTTTGGTTTCGAGTCAAATTCACCTACCAGCAGAACATGTCGATTGTAAGTTCTATTTATGGATTCTGAAGACACGATTAATAATGATAAATTCATTTATTTCTATAGGTCCTATGGATGAACGTGTACGTTGGATGGATAATTATCACTTTTCATTAACTATCAAAGGTCTTTATCTTTAAAAATGTTTGTTCATTAATTCTTGTCTTATTTATTTTTTCTAGACAGTTTTACATATTTTCGAAAAAGTGAATGCATAGAGAATACTCAAGAACATAGCATGCCACTAACAATCATTTTAAATAATATTGGTTCAAGTTAGAAAGAAATTAATTTATTAGTTTTATAGTAAAATTTTTTTTTTTGTAATTTTAAGATCAAATCGCCAACGGTGAAAATAACCGTATGAATATGGATGTAATAACACAAAATAATCCCGATAAAATTGCTACACCATTATGGGCAATTGGTATTTATATTATTTTATATATTTTTTTAACTAGTGGTATTTGATAAAAAAAACATTTAGGCATACCGACGGAGACCACTGTAGCAAACAATGCTGTAGCAGCAGCACCGAATGAGATTCCACGTGAGTTGCAAAATGAAATTTCGTATGAATTGACTGATTTGTTTTTCTTTTTATCTAGAGGATACAGATTTTTCTGTTATTACAAGTGAAACAAAAAAGATTGATGAAATATCCATGCACAGTAGTAATGATGGTAGGCTAACTTTCGATTTATTTATTTTTTTTATCCTGATCCGGGAAACTTCTTTTCTAGTGGCATGGGTCTTGGTGATTTTAATTTTTCGAGTCACAATCTAGAGAAAAGCATTTTAGGATGTATTCGTATTAAATCTAAAAAAATTCTTCAACACTTGTTTATTTTCATTTATTTTATCGACGAGTAACAGTTCATTCCGATCCCAGTAAAATTCCAAAGTTTCACTCAGATCACCGAAACCAGGCCTCTAATTGGCCCTGCATATTATTATAAACTATTGAAATAATCACTTGACAATGACATTATAATTCAAAAATGTTTCTTTGTTTAGAACAAAGTCTTATTCGTGATAGCTTCGTACATGTTGGAGACAATGATGAATTATCTCATAGCAACAATCAAATAGGTATGCTAGATATAATTTATATTCTATTTGTTCTATATTTTAACTAATATATCTAAGTAGTTGAAGCATCACCAAATAATACAGCTATTGCTAATGTTGTTCCACCAAGTGCTTCATCAAATCAAATGAATAATGTTGATGAACAATCAGCTGGCACAGAATTGACAAATAGTACAGTTGAAATATTCTTATTTTTACATTAAAATAATTTTTTCTTGCCTGTTTTTGTTTTTAAGATACATCATCTCCTGAAACATTAGAAATCGCACGGGATGTTGCTACAAATGAAGCTACTCCTCAAGCAATTTTATGTGTTACTTATATACCAGTTAAAAATGTTGAAAAGTTACTAACTGCATTTGAACCAAGTAACGATTTAAACAAAGAAATTCGTCCATAAAGGACAGAAATATTGTTTTAATTATGATGAAAACATCGTTAGACAAATTCAAATTTTCTATTTAACCATGAAACCATGCATTTTTATTTAATCCAGATTTTGCTTATTTTATCGAGTTTGTATTGATACTTAATCATGATATTGCATGCTGCTTTTATTTCATTAATTATGAATGTCAACATCTAGTAAGATAAAAAAAAACAATCAAAATATTTAATATGAAAAAGTATACTTAAACTTAACGTTTTAATGAAAAGCAATATCAATTTACTAGTGTTTCATTTATCATGGTATGCTTAATTATCTCTCAAAATAAGATAGGAAAAGTCACTACAAACAATCACTGAAATGTACAAGTAGAACCATTTATTTTCATTAAATTGTCAAGCTTATGTTTATTTTTTGTTGTTCGATGTGTTGTATAATTGAAATAAAAGACTATAGATCTTTTCCATTTGATTTTGATAAGGGAGATTATTTTTATCTTTTTAAGATACAAATTATAAACAGATCAAAATTTTCGATTGTTGAAAATTATTTAAGCGAATCAATAAAAATTGTATAAACTTATCAAGTAATGGAAGGTTATCATAATACTTAATCTGTATCATCTTCATTACATAGTAAAAATAGAAAATCGACCTTGATTACTAAGTAACGCATCTTTTATAATTTAACAAAAAAACTTCTTTTCCTTTATTGAAAGAAATAAATTGATAACTTGTATATTTGCTTTCTCTTATTTATATGTAGAATCTGAAGTTTTTTTCTTTTTGATACTTTTAGTTAATAATTTTCGATGATGATTTATTGTTAAGACATATTATTCTTTACCGACTTTTCTGTTTCTCTATAGCAAAGATTCTAACCATAAAATAAATGTTTCTAATAATAAATGAAATATCTTCGTCATAATAAAACAATAGAGAAATAATCATTTATTTATTATCTGAGTATAATTATGTTGGTGAAGAACAAAAATGCATTTCCTTCATTATGTTTTTCTGTCCGAATAAAATTAGAATGTGACTAGAGATAAATAAAATTTGAATAGAATCCCTAGAGAAAGTACTGAGTTCAGGGTACCCATGTACTGAGAAAGCTCTAGCAGGGTACCCAATATGGGTACTTTGAAAATTCTCAGTAATTTTACTGATGTATGTACTGTTTGGGGTACCCGTAAAAGTACATTCACTGAATAAGTACCTGCATGGATACACAAGTCTGTAACTTTACTGAGGAAATCTCGACAGGGTATCCTAAATTTTTCGCGTTCGGCGTGGCGACTATTCATTCACCGTTTTCTTTTTTACGTACGGCTCTATATAAACAACTCGATAAATCATAAGAAAATAATCAATTTTCATACTAGTTTTTTCTAAATTATTTCTTGACTATTTCTTAGTCGAGGAAATGCCGAGCTTGGTCGTAAATTAAGATCGGACTACCTTGAAGTGGTCTACGACCAACTCAAGTTGAGTCGGATCCCGACATTGTTCCTGCTAAGTTTTTGGAATTGAAAAAATTAAATTGAATAAAGTTAAAAAAAATCTAGTAAATTATCTCAAGAAAAAAGAAAAATTTTAAAAAGTCAAAGATCAGGTTCGATCCTGAACATACTGAAAATTTGGTAACAGGGTACTTAGAAATACTATGCAAAGGTACCCAATTCAGTACTTGATCAGTACCTTTAGGTACCCAATTACTGTGCATTTTCCAGCAGGGTACTTGCCAAAGTACCACTTAGGTACCTGTAAGTACCCGCAAGTACTTTGGTACCCCGAAAGTTCCTGTGACATACTGGTATCAGGGTACTTTTTTGGGTACCCTTAACTCAGTATATTCTCTAGGGATAAACCTTTTTCATTCAACAACATCTTTTGTATTATCGTAAACACTTTAAAAGGCATAGTAATTCAGCCTATTCGCCTATATTTGTACAACCATTTCGTCGAAAATGACATTTTGTCGAACAAAAAACCAGGCGTGCAGAATCTACCCGTGTGAATCAACGAGCATTGGGGAAATTTTTGAAAATTTAGTAGTATCTGAGAAAATGTTTTGATAAATATTTTCTCTCATTGGGAAAATTTTTCAACTTTCCAAACAAATCTCAGTTTATTTATATAAAATTACATCGATAAGACCTACTTTTCTTTTCATTAAGCTTGTGAAAGAGTCATCCATATCTTTATTGTAGTGTTAGTATTGTCTACCTTTGTTTACGTTGATCATGCATCTTGCCACTTCTTTCATCCTGTCTTTTTATGCCTATTGATGATATAAAACACATTATTTGTGCGGGTGTGAGTGTTTAGGTGACAAGAGAATTGGTATTCATACATCTACATCCATACACACTCTCGTTCCAATTGATTGACTGTAGCAAACACTGTACTGTTGAATTGATGTGTTTTGTGATTGAATAAATTGATCTCACATGCATACAAGTTTTGATTTATTTTGAGAGATGAAACTGAGACTGAGTTTGAAGCAAAATAATCACCAGAAATAAGCATAAATGAATACAAAATAGGGTTATCTAATGTCATTTCACTTGTCTACGGAGTCCAGTTGAGGGTAACTATAGGTGAGTAAAGATGATTGATATTCCTCGCGCTTATCCTCCCATTTCTATGATGAACTGCTTTGGACACAAGAACATTTATAAGAAAAAGTAGAGAGACAAAATAGTGCTTCATTGAAATGTAATATTTAGTCGAAGTATTAGTTAGTGGTCTACTTTTGCCAAAGATACAGTGTTAAATCATAGCTTCTATTGACAGATGTTGATAGATAAGAAGTAAATATTGAAAAGGACTGCGGATTTATAGATTAATAAAGTGACAAGAAAAAACGACCTAAATCCCAATAGTTTGGGAGTTCTTAGCTATGAAATTGACGTACGTGCGGGGAATTAATAGTGACACCACAGGTAGAGATATCATAATACCAATAAACCAGGTATCCATCTCAATACTCTACTGCACGACTATTTCTTCTGTTGAGATGAGGTGATTTGAGGTACTTTGGTGTATCCACCTCAAACGACCTTGTTTTCCCATTATACATATTGAATATATTGATTCGAATACTTTTATGTATTGCTTGATCTCGATCTCTATACCGAGTGTATCGATATTATGACACTACGCCTTGTTTTTCTTTCATTTGACAAAAAAACCCAGTAACGCTGAACAACAAACAGAATGAAACGTTATTTATTCATTATCGTCATCTGAACTTCACAGCTGTTCTCATTCTTTTACTTTGCTCTATATAATCAAGTCACATCTGATCTTTCTTCGATCACTTCGTCATTTTCTTTTACAATCTGTTTCTTTAAATAACATTTTTCAAACACAATTTGTTCCAAATGATACTAATGCATCATATAACGATTGTCCGGTTCAACCAAAATTAAAAACTTATCCAATAAATCATGAAAAAGTTTATTCCAGCCAAGCTGTTATAAAGACAGAGTATGGTTAAAATACTTTACTAAAATGATATCTGCTTTTGCTATTATTATCGTCACTCTTTTGCCAATAAACTAAATGTTTCTTATGCTGCTACCACTTTAGGATATAGTAATTGGAAAAAGCCGTTAAAGAAAACGTGTAAACCCCATAAACAATGACAATAAACTAATTTAAATGTTATTAATAAATTAGACTATGGTTGTGTTATGCATATATGTCGAAATCATGAGAAGAATGAAAGGTGTGTATTCCATTTACTTTCAAAGAAGTCCGAGAGCTCGTCGTGAAGAATTCACATCGGAAACAAATAGAAAAATTTCTACTTAAGATTCGATTCGATTCCATTGAGTCAGGATGGATGTAAATGGATACAGGTAGAGGCACCACTCTCACCCTCAAATCGTCTAACATTTCAGCATTAACAATCTGTTGAATAAAATTATACATCTCTTGAATCGCACAATATATTGTATTGGGAAAGAAAAAGAACGGGTAACACAAGAAATTTCGTCAAAGTATTTGGAAAATTTCTAGATTAAGTTATGAAAAAAATTCTGGCTAACATAATCTTTTAGGATCACAAGAATAAAAGCGTCAGCATTTTTCTTGAATCTTCGCGTAAACCTCTTTGTAATTGTCTTTATTTCGATTATATCCATCATCGATATGCACTGGATCCTTAGTGCTGAAGTCACCTCCCCACCGTAATTCTTCACTCTTGATCTTATCAATGAAACACTTGACATCCGTTGGTTGTTTTCCACCAAGACACTTACCATTACACAATGTGTCACTCTCTCCATAGACAACATTCATATCGATGGCATGACCAATTTTGTGATTACTCATGTCTGCTGGAGGTACAATGGCGCCAAGAACAATCGAACCGGGTCGTCGGTACGAACTTGTGATGTACAATTTGACATTGCAACTGGCTGCGGTAGCACAAATGATATCCATTGATGAGCGAAAACCGCTTTCGATACTGACCGTCTGGCCTCGACTATCCAAGCAGCGGCTTGATTTATAGATCTCGATCGGGCAGGCTGCTTGTGAGACTGTGACCAAGCCGATGCAGACAAAAAGAAGAAAACAAGTATACATAGTTATATTGTATGTACGATTGACAAATGAAACCCTCCTTTTATATTTGACTGATTCAATCGAAAGAATATTAAATATGAGTTATACATGCGTTAGTTCCGCAGAATACATAAAATACACTTATCTCCGGTGTAATGTAGTGTAAGAGCGCAAACGATTGCAGAATAATCAACGGCGGTTGAATGAGCATATTAATCACCAAAAAGAACTGAAATTCAGTGCCGAATTTGCGGAACTTGGTATTTACCAAGATAGGCCCCAGGCAATAGAAAAGGTAAAGAATTATATGCATCAAAACGGAAAGAAAAACGTACACTTCGTCACGAGAGGGTGTGGGTGTTGGATAAGGTGTAAATGGGTGTGGGTTTGGGAAGAGATGTGGAGGGGTGTGGGTGTGTGGTGGAGTGTGGGTGT